GCATCATACCACGATATTAAATCAGGCGTTTGTTGGGAGAAAATCTAATTTTTATTGCTTTTTGTAAATTGTTAGTTTTTTTAGTTAGAGTAGTGTTGTTAACAACTTTATAGTTGTTTGTTTTTGTATAATTGCAGGTAGGTGGTGGATTCAATGACTGTATAAAGTCTCGGAAATAATGATATCATGCTAAAAATTAAAAAAAGGTAGTAGAAGTCAGTGCCCAGTTGGGCGTGAGGCGCTTAGCAAAATGCCAAGAGTAGTGGAGAAAAGAAGGGGGCCTCCCTATTCATCCTTTGGCGTTCCAATTGGCGCGAGGTGCATTTCTAGCACTGAAGGTCGTCTGACCCAAATAAGTCATTTTAACTCGCTATCGACCTGACCCACCCCATATTACCTCTCATCCATGTACCCATTTGGACATATACCATGACCTAATCTTCGAAATTATAACAACCCCCTCCCCCCTCCTTAATGTCATAACCCAAATTAGAGGGCCGTGACGGGCACCCGGTGCCTTACTCAATTGAGTACTAATGTAACATATCTTTCTTATCATACCATCATAGCTAAATGATATGGAAAGGCTGTCATGTAACTAGAATAAAACATGAGGGAATACTCGACATAGGATGACCGAATATGACATACAAACTTATACATGTGATATACGAGCCTATAAGGCCAACGTGATCGTTTGTACACTCAAACCATAGGCCGATAAGGCCATACAAGTATACATATCTATGACATCTGTCTAAAAGCCTCTAAGAGTACATAAATGTCATAAAGGCTGGGATAGGGCCCCACCATACCACTCAATGCATGTCCAAAGCATATAGACCAAATAGGCGACTCTAGAGTAAGTAGAGTGCATCAACACCTTTCACTTAGCTGATAGCCTACTAGGAGGACTGTCAATCTATCTATCAGGATCTACGGGCATGAAACGTAGCATCCCTAGACAAAATAGATGTCAGTATGAATAAAGTACGGAGTATGCAAAGTAGGAAAGCATAAATAAGAAGAGTAATATAAAGAGAGATAGAGAAGATACAGCCTGTAACATCTGAGTTCCTCTGAGGGGTACTGACATGAAATTCATATATATATATACAAACACCCACACGCATAAACCTTTAAAAATATAAGCCTATGTGGGCCTCATCATCATCATATCATACTCGGCCTCGAAGAAGACTCAATAAAAATGTCTCCAACCATAATAAGGATCGGTAGAATCGTACTCGATCACATGGTGCTCGGTAAAACCCAACTGATCTGTTGTTGCACAATAGGTGTCATACCCGGCCAACTATAATACAACTCGATAGAGTAAAATATATATATACAATGCATGATGGACTCGTGGAATCACTTTCTAAACTTTTCAGAGTGACATAAGGTCGTTGCACCTTCGATTAACATTATGGACATCCATACCATCAATATGAACCTCAATAGGATTCAAGGATCATACATACTTGCTTAGAATAACTTTAAAAAGAAAGAACAACGAGGATATATATATATAATGCATAATGGACTCACGGAATCACGTTCTAAACCTTTCGGAGTTACATAAGGTCTTTGCACCTTCGATTAACATTATGGACATCCATACCATCAATATGAACCTCAATAGGATTCAAGGATCATACATACTTGCTTAGAATAACTTTAAAAAGAAAGAACAACGAGGATATATATATATAATGCATAATGGACTCACGGAATCACGTTCTAAACCTTTCGGAGTGACATAAGGTCTTTGCACCTTCGATTAACATTATGGACATCCATACCATCAATATGAACCTCAATGGGATTCAAGGATCATACATACTTGATTAGAATAACTTTAAAAAGAAAGAACAACATGGACAACCTTACTTGCTAGGAGTAGATCTGTTATGAAATAGCGTATCGTTTATGTTCATTTCACTTTAGATCATGTCAAAGAAAGAAGGAAGTGCCCTAACATACCTTTTCAATTTTCTCTATAATCATCAACCAAGCTTAATATGACCTTCTTATGTCTACCATGAGTAAACTGACTTCGTCGTCATCGTATAAGCATTGTAACTGTCATATTTAGTAACCAATATTCTATAAGAAAACAGACAATACGTCTCCTATTTTTACTACATCCCATAAGTTATGAGAAGTCGCCAAACAACCAAATAACAATTAGTAGCTATATGGAACACAACCAAGTTTCTATAAGGTTTCCTCTATTTGGCGAAAGTTTGAAATTTGAAGATTTGAAAAGTTTATAAGTTTGACCAGGAGTTGATGATAGTAGACTATATTGTTGATATTTACACCTATGACCATACTGTGTTGTTGTTTTATAGATAAATTGCCAACAAAATGCTCTAAATAGTGTTCTTTTGTTTAGCAGGGAATATTATATGAGAGGAAGCAACATGGAGTGTTTTGGAGGCGATAATGTGAAGAAAAACGCCCACTGGAGAAGTACCCGAACACAAAGAAGCATAAATGGCATGGGCAAGAAGGCTACCGTGACCGCGGTGAACCACAGTAGATTAACAACGTAAGGCAGAAAGGTCAGCATTCATTGCGGTCGACCGTGGTGCACTGTTCACGCTGCTGGAAAGTTTGAGGACCAAAGTGTAAAATCGAGGAAACTTTTGTAAAACCCTTATATGCTTTAGAAACTCACCCAAGATTGGGATAAGATGATTTTTGACTACCTTTGGAGGCAAGAACAAGAGTGAGAAGATCAACCAAACATTAGAGTTTTTCTATCTTCTTTGAATTCTTGCAATTTTACATTATGAACAATTTAGTAGTTTCCTTTTATTTTGTTATGAGTAGCTAAATACTTATCTAGGGTTGATGGAACCAATTGTTGGTTGAAGTTTTGACTCAAGTTGTTATAATTGAGCCGGATTTATGATATGATTGTTCAACTATATTTTGTATGGTGATTAATTGAATGGGCCCTTGATTAATCGTGTCTAATTACCTTATATTGCTTGAGAAAGAATATTAGGTTAGATAGTTGTTGAACAACACCACTTTTGGGTAATTGAAGAGATTCATTACTTGAACTTAAAAGTGAGTTTAGAGATAACAAAACTTTGGTGGGATAATTTAGAGTTGCATAACTATTGTCAGCTAGAGTAGTTCGAGAGAATGCTCTAGTAAATTATTTTAGTTGATTGAGAGATAATTACGATAACCCATAACTCTTAATCCTCATAGAGTATTACGGCGAGATTATAGCGTAAGGGTCAAGACCTAAACTAGCAATTGGGGAAATCACTGCCCTAGACCTTCTTACTATTGAATTATCTTTTTTTAGCTTACTATTGTTTTTAATAGTAGTTGAAGTAGTTAAACAAAAACCCAATCTTTATTGATCAAAAATCTTTCATCTAGAGATTGATTGAGTTGATAATAACATTGCCGTAAAGTATAATAGATAGGTAAGTTCCCTGAGGATTCGATTCCTAACTTAAAACCGGATTATATTTGCAGCGACCGTTTTGTCCTTTAAAAGGAATAGTTGGGCGTTATCAAATTTTGGCGCCATTGACGGGGAGCTAACAATGTTGTTTATTTCAACTTAGAAGTAGTGTTAAAATTATTAGTCAAATCAATTTTCAAAGGTGTTAAATAATTTTCATTGAAATTCTAACATTTGAACTCTTGTGGAATTCAAGTGTATGCCTAGAAATTCTTCGAGGACTGGAGAACTGCTTGAAGGACTTTCAGACCCCGAGAAAACATTCAGGGCATTGAACCGTGCCAACAAGAGGATCCAACAATCACAACAACCACACCAGCTTGAAATTGACATGGGTGACGTAGAGAACGTCAACAAAAACATCAGGGATGAGCCAGCTGACCCAAACATCAGAGTGGTGGCACCTCTTGTGCCAGAAGCTGCACTTTATGATTGGGCTCAACCCACAGCTGACAACCTGGCAACTACCATAGTTGTGCCCGCAATTCAAGCGGAGACATTCCAGATCACCAACAACATGCTGCATCTGCTACAGAATAAAGGATTGTTCTCTGGGTCACACATTGAAGACCCTCAGCAACATTTGAAAACTTTTCTGTCAATTTGTGTGAATCAAAGGCAGCCAAATAAGACCCCAGAAGCTATCAAGCTATTATTGTTCTCGTTCTCTGTGACTGGGAAAGCTTAGACTTGGCTGAATTCACTCCCAATTAATTCCATTGTCACCTGGGAGGAATTAGTAAAGCAGTTCCTGAATAAGTTCTACCCGCCCAACAAGACTGCAAGGCAGATTGATGAAATATTATAGTACATGCAGCAGCCGACTGAGACCTTGCAAGAAACTTAGGAAAGATTTAAAGGGATGCTGGTGAAGTGTCCTCACCATGGCATTCCAGACCAGATGCTTGGCGAAAGATTATACATGGGGTTAGCTGACAATCTAAAGGCCAATGTGGATGTTTCAACTGGAGGTGCATTTTTGAGTAAGACGTTCACCGAGTGCAAAGTCCTTCTTGACAAGATGTCCCATAATTTGGGGTGGATGACTAGAGGTACAACACTGGCACCCATAGTGCATTTAGTTCCTCTTGACCCAAATAATTCGCATGCAGAGAACATGGCCACACTCATGACTCAGATGAGTATTTTGACAAAGAAAATAGATGAGATGGGTACCAAACAGGTGCATATTGTTGTAACGACAAATGGAGGACTGTGTACACCCTGTGTTAATCAGTCTTATGTATGTTCATGGAGCGGAGAAGGTGAAAATCAAGGGGCAAGGGAAGATATGAATTATGTTAACAACTTTGAGGGTCAGAGACAAGGAGGACAGCAGTGGAGACCAGTACCAAATCAGTAATATAGACCTAACATGCCTCAGCCTGGGGGAATTCAAGTTCAAGGCCAAATGGTGCCATACCACCACAGACAACAGGGCTACCCATAGCAGAACGAGCAACAGTTGACATATCAGTCGCCTCCTCAGCAGCAAGATAACAACATGGTAGAGATCTGGGGGATGCTCCAGCAACTCATTGGGACAAATGGTAAGATGCAAGAAAAGTTGGCAGTACATGATTCAGCTATAAAGAACATTGAAACTCAGTTGGGGCAGTTGTCTATGGCTTTAAACAACCGCCCCCAGGGAACATTGTCAACGAACACAAATATTAACCCCAAGGAGCAAAACCCGAATCAGCTGATGGCAGTAAGTCTCCGAAATGGGAGAGATTTAGACAAAGAGCAGGAGGTTGCACAAGCCAACAAAGACACTACGCTAGCCACTCCAATTCCACTAGAGGTAGATGAACCATCAAATCTGACTGAAGTGGTAGTTGAACAGGGTCAAGATGAAAAGGGTAAGGCTAAGGTAAATGAACAAGTTGCAGAACAGGTGGTGCCTCTCGTGCCACAGAACCCCAACAGAGAGAAGCCAGCAAATAGTGCACAAAGGGTGAGACCTGCACCATTCACTCAGAGACTGGTAAAATAAAAGAAGGAAGATCAATACATGAAATTCATAAAGATGCTACGTCAAATTCAGTTGAATATTCCTTTGATAGATGCCTTGAGGGAGATTCCAGGTTATGCGAAGATGATGAAAGATCTAATGTCACGGAAGTTAGATTTTCAGGACCTATCCACAGTGACTCTAACGCAGACCTGCAATGCAGTAGTGACCAAACCGATGGCTCAAAAGATGTCAGACCCAGGTAGCTTCACTATTAAATGCACGATTGGGAGTTATGCCTTTGCAAAGGCATTATGTGATTTGGGAGCCAGCATAAATTTGATGTCTCTGGCTGTATACACCAAACTGGGCATTGGCAGAGCTAGACCGACTTCGATGCTGCTGCAGCTGGCTGACCGCACGGTAAAAAGCCTACTGGGATTCTTGATGATGTGTTGGTGCAAGTGGGGGAGTTTGTGTTCCCTGCAGACTTTGTTATTCTGGACTGTCAGGTAGATGAGGAGAAACCTATCATTTTAGGTAGGCCATTTTTGGCCACTGGGAGAGCACTGATCGATTATGAGACTAGGGAATTAAAAATGAGACTGAACGATGAAGAAGTCATATTTAATGTTCAGCAATCTATGAGGAGACCTAGTGAATATGCTAATTGCTCTCTAGTGGAGGCAGTGGATGTGATCCTGCAAAAAGATGATGTGACCCTGAATACTAAAGATCCATTGGAGGCATGTCTGACAAATTTAGAAGAGATGGATGGTGAAGGGTTAGCTGAGTGGGTCATGGGACTTGAAGGACAAGGATTCTGGAAAAGGGAACCTCAGTTCGAGTCCCTTGAGTTAGAAAAAAGGGCTACACCTCTAGCAAAGCCATCAGTAGAGGAACCACCCAAGCTGGAGCGGAAGCCGCTCCCAGCTCACCTTAGGTACATTTTCTTAGGCCCTGATTCTACTTTGCCTGTTATTATATCATTCAGTTTGCTAGATGTGCAGGTAGAACAGCTCTGACAGGTACTGCAGGAAAGTAAGACTGCCATTGGCTGGACCATGGTAGACATAAAGGGTATCAACCCAACCTTCTGTATGCACAAGATTCTCTTGGAAGAAGGGCACAAACCTTCCAGAGAACATCAACGAAGGCTGAACCCGAACATGAAAGAGGTAGTAAAGAAGGAAGTGATCAAATGGTTAGATACGGGAATCATCTTCCCCATCTCTGATAGCAATTGGGTCAGCCCTGTCCAATGTGTGCCGAAAAAGGGGGGAATGACTGTTTTGCAAAATGAGAACAATGAGTTGATCTCAACTCGTACAGTTATGGGATGGCGGATTTGCATGGATTACCGAAAATTGAACACAGCCACCCGGAAGGACCACTTCCCCTTGACTTTCATTGACCAAATGTTGGACAAGCTCGCCGGGCGATCGCACTTCTGTTTCTTGGATGGATATTCGGGGTACAATCACATATCAATATACCCCGAAGATAGAGAGAAAACATCCTTCACTTGTCTGTATGGCATCTTCGCCTTTCGGAGACTGCCTTTTGGGCTTTGCAATGCACCGGCGACATTTCAATGTTGTATGTTAGCCATTTTCACAGACATGGTGGAGGATATTATGGAGGTCTCTATGGATGATTTCTCTGTGGTGGGAGCTTCATTCGAGGACTATCTTCACAACTTAAGAAGATTTCTCAAAAGATGTGTGGAGACAAATTTAGTGTTGAAATGAGAGAAGTGCCATTTTATGGTACAGGAAGGGATAGTCCTAGGGCATCGAGTGTCCAGTAAAGGAATTGAGGTCGACCATGATAAGGTTGACGTGATTGAAAAACTACCACCGCCCATTTCAGTCAATGTGGTGAGAAGTTTCCTTGGGCACTCTGGGTTCTACAGGGGATTCATAAAAGATTTCTCCAAAATTGCTAACCCATTATGCAAACTCCTTGAAAAGGATCACCCCTTTGTGTTTTCTAATGATTGCAGGTTGGCATTTAAGGAGCTGAAGAAGCGATTGGTGACTGCACCCATCATTGTTGCACCCAACTGGGAGCAGCCATTTGAGCTTATGTGCGACGCAAGTGATCTAGAGATACGTGACAGAAAAAGGACAGAGAACCAAGTAGCTGACCATCTCTCACGGTTGGAAGGAGTTGAAAAGAAGGTAGAGGTCGAGGATATAACAGAGACATTCCTGGATGAACAGTTACTGGCAATGACAATGGAGGAGGCACCATGGTATGCTGATATTGCTAATTATTTAGCAAGTGGTTTTGTACCTTATGAACTCTCCTCAATACAAAAGAAAAAGTTCTTTCGTGATTGTCAGTATTATTATTGGGATGAACCTCTGTTGTTTATAATATGTGTAGATAACATGATCCGGCGGTGTATCCCCGAGAAAGATCAACATTCTTTTTTGTAGGCTTGCCAAGCTTCACCATATAGTGGACACTTTGGAGGAATTTGGACAGCAGCTAAGGTGTTGGAGTCAGGCTTGTACTGGCCTACTCTATTCAAGGATGCCCATTCTTGGGTTAAAAGCTGCGATGAATGCCAAAGAACTGGCAACATATCTCGTGGACAGGAGGTGCCAATGACCACAATTCAAGAGGTGGAGATTTTTGACATGTGGGGGATTGACTTCATGGGGCCATTCGTCAGCTCGTATGGTAACAAGTACATATTGGTAGCAGTTGACTATGTCTCCAAGTGGGTCGAAGCAGTGGCTCTTCCGACCAATGATGCTAAAGGGGTACTAGGCTTTCTAAAGAAGAACATTTTCACACGTTTTGGTATCCCAAGAGCTATACTCAGTGATGGAGTAACCCATTTCTGCAATAGAGCATTCGCATGGCTGTTGGAAAAATATGGAGTTCGTTATAAAGTGACCACCTCGTACCGCCCACAATCGAGCGGGCAAGTTGAAGTGTCCAACAGGGAGATTAAAAGTGTCCTCACAAAAATAGTGAATGCAACAAGGATTGACTGGGCAAAGAAATTGGATGATGCATTGTGGGCGTACCGCACAGCCTTCAAAACCCCAATCGGTATGTCACCGTACAAGTTGGTGTTTGGCAAGGCGGGCCACCTCCCAGTTGAGCTAGAGCATAAAGCACTTTGGGCATTGTGGCAGTTAAACTTAGACATGGAGATAGCATGTACTAACAGAATCACTGGGTTACATGAGCTCGAGGAATTCAGGTTCCAGGCCTTTGAGAGTGCTAGATTATACAAAGAAAGGATGAAATTAATGCATGATAAGCATATCTTGGATCGAAACTTCAAACCCGGAGATCTAGTGTTGTTATACAACTCGAGATTGAGATTGTTCCCAGGTAAGTTAAAGTCCTGATGGTCAGGACCCTTCAGAGTGGTGCAATTGTTCTTAAGTGGAGCTGTCGAGATTGAATCAGAAGATGGGACAAATAAGTTCACAGTAAATGGGCAAAGGTTGAAACATTACTTGTAAATGGATGAAGAAAAAAGGGATAGAGTGGTAATCACTTTGGAAGAGCCCCAGTACGCGAATGAGGAGTGATGATTAAATGTTTGCATCGTGCCGCGACGTTAAATCAGGCGCTGCGTGGGAGGCCACCCACGAGTGTGTTGTGAGTGTGTTCATGTAACTTCATATATATAACAAAAAATAAAACAATGCCAGCACCACGACCGCGGTAAACTGTGGTGGAAGGCAAACTCTCTAATTTAAATTCTACATCACACCGCGACCGCGGTAAACCGCGGTGAGGCGTGAACTTTTTGCCTCACGATTTTAAACCCACTGCGGCCGCGGTGGACCGCGGGGGTACCAGGTATTATTATTTTTTTTTTCATTTTACTTCTTTTCCTCATTTTTTAATTTAATAACCCCCTAATATAAGAAAAACCCCCTCCCCCAAATATCAAAACAACCG